ATCGGCACGTGAGCTGTTCTACAAGATTAGAAAGCTAGAGTGCAGCTCCACTCCGCTTCCAAGTGCAGTATAGGGAGGGCAAGGTTCGGCCCCCAAGTAGGTTTGGTTGGTAGGTTCGTTGGCTTCCTGCGTGTAACCAGCACAGATCGACCAAGGTCTTTATCTCCTTATACCGCACACTGGACGAGGCAGGAGTGGGGCTGGCTGGCGAGGACCGGAGTCGAGGTGATAGTAGAAGTTGAAGAGCCGGTTGAAGTCGATTGAAACTGCCCTCACCAGCTCACCCCACATTTATAGTCGCGATAAGATAAAGGTATTTGATATGATACATAAGAGCGATAAGATATATCTTATCGCTTCCAAGCTCAACAAAGCAACAGCTTAACGATAAACTATAACAGGAATGAACACAACAATTGATATCAACAAGACATACATACTTACATACCTGCATACAAACCGACACACAAAGTTACTGGTTCATAAAATGAAAGGATAAGTGAATTTATGAAGAAACAATTGTGAGCCAGAGCGCTTGTTGCCCGAACTCTGGGGAAAGGGATCCCGCTGGTTACTTTGGCGGGTAAGCCATTTCAAGAAATTGTTGAGAAACGGAGCATTTCGTGGATTCGGAGTATTGAAGAGCTTACACCCCCCCCCCCAGCTGTGCTGGCCCCACATGTCCTTCCAGAAGCAACGAGTTCTATCAAATTTCCAGAAGTTGGAAGCAGACAACTTTAGACAAAGATACGGGATAAATGTTCAGGGAAACGAGATGCGTCATAGCTGCGAAAGCTGATTTCAAAACGATTTATCTAGGCACCAGTAGATCTATCGCAGCCCGCTCTGGCCGTAAGTCAGATGTTACCCTGATATCTCTCATATGTCTTCTCTCGCCCGTTTGCCATCTCTACTTGTCTCGACTCTCGTCCGCGCACCAACTACCTTCGTTTCAACCTAAGTTATTGAAAGCGACCAGAAGAAGGATCTTGTTCCACGCATTCTTGGCGACTTATTTCGACTTTCCTCCAATGCTCCACTTGCTTTTTTTTACCTTTCTTTTATTTTCTCGCACTCATCGTCTTCGGTCAAGTCTTTTTTTTGTTGAATTATGCGCCAGAGTTGCCTAGCCTTGAACGTCCTTACTCATAATCACCACGCGGAAGAAGTAGGCTGACACGACGCTTCCTTTTTTGGACTATCCACAGTCATTCTTTCTTTGGATCTGTATGATAAGTTTGGTGGTGACTGAGAGCCCAGAAGCACAATCACTGGTCAAGAGCAGTATTTTTGTTCCTGACGGTGTTTCTGTGTTGTACACTTTTTGCTACTTATTATTTTTGTTTATGCCACTTTATCTAATCACACGTTTTGCGAATAGCTAGAGGGTGCTTTCCTTTGTAGGAGATGGGCGATCTCATGACAGTAGAGGTTTTACCACCTTCACCGCTTGAGGTAAGGATGCTAGGGGCTAAGAACTTGTCAAGGCTCTTACCATTAGGTTCATTGGCCTCTCTCGAGCGTATGTTCGAACAATACTCAGAATGAAGTGCAAAACGGTAACTTTGCTCAAGGCGGGTCCCTTGCACCTACGCCTTGGCAGCCTACGGTATATTTTCCTAGTAGCCTTACACACCTCTCATAGGTCGAAATGTGCCTTTACACTTGTTCTCACTCTTTCGTAGCGACGTGCATAGATGTTTTTGAAAACATCGTCGTGAGGTAGACATGAAGCGTAAACACGAAGAGATTGTTTAATTTGATTTGTTTACTGGGAATGGAAGTGCTGGATTCCTTTCAACTCATTGCGAATCTACCACAGTCAACGAAGTGTTTTCGTGTTGTTGTTGGCCCTGACTGCAGCTATCGAATTTGAAGGGAGATTGAATCGTGTAGGATTCTTGCGCTTCTACTCCCCGATGAGCAGAAGAACGATGTGGCTTTTCCTTGAAGGCAGATGGCACGATAAATCCCTAAGCCCAGTAGGATTAATGACAGGAAGGAATTCCGCGATCCTGAGCAGGCGCTGAGTAGCGTTTATTCCAAGAAAAGTACCCTTATAAGGGCCTTATTAAGCTACAGTATATAAGAACCCGAACGCACCACCAGCGCGCCGCCGCGCTAGGAATGGATGACCTTACCTGATGCTCGTGTTGCTTCATTTGCGAAGCAAAATATGAAGCGAAGGGATTGATATGAAGTGGCCGCACTGCTGCATGGATATATGAGTACATACGTGCAGCCGTACCTACCGTCACGGTTATTGGCAAAATGCCTACGGGAAACTCGTCCGAAGTTACCTTTGGAGTCATTAAAACTGAAGGCTTCCCTTCGCATGTTTTTGACTGTTTCACTTCGTTTTTCCGCCGATTTCCCACTATATAGCGCCCTGCTGGCGTTTTAGGCCGAAACTCAATTATGTGCCAACTGCTTTTGAGCGCATAAGTTTTCACCTTCATTCTTTAGGAATAATGGACGCTGCAACTAGGTTAGAGTAATGTGGCGTTTTCAACCATCGCCAATCCAACCAAGTGCACAATTTTTCGAACATTCGCTTAGCTTCACCACACCCTAAACGTAATTTTCTGAATGAGTCTCCGCGGTTCATATCGTGCCGAGGCTGCCGATACTTCTATGATCCGATTTGAAGGTAACTTAAGCGTGTGAGGTTGAAGTTTGTTCCATCTCTGAACCCGTACACGTCAAATCAAATACTTTTTTCTGAAAGGCGTCCTAAACCACGTTGTACTCAAGGAATTCTGACACTACCTGTAACTTCGAGAATACAGGTACAAGAGTGGAGCAAGCGAGAACTAAGCCCAGAATCTTCTGTGAGCATTTCGACCACAGAAAAGGTGGTATTGGTTAGAGGCAAGTGGCACGCTTATCACAACAGTCTGAGGGTAAGATCGTCGATCGGCTTTCCGTTCATTGCGCACGTCTCTAACCCTCCGGAGGACGTTAGTTGGTACGGGCAGATTCGCTGTGAATGGAGAGAAATAAGAATATATCGTATGTGGCATCGACTGACCTTCTGCAAGCCATTGTTGGGTAGGCCACACTCGCAGGCGCTGTAAGTCACTACGATTTTGAGAATGGAAGTACGTAGAAGTGTGGCCGTGCAGCGGGCTAAGAATTTACCTTTCCATCTGCCTTATCATTGTTCGCCTGTTGCTTCCCCTGTCGTTGTTAACTGCTCAGCCTTTAGTGCCCTTTCGTCCATTAGATCGTAGAGGTGGCGTCTACGACCAGCAAAGCTTTAATCCCTCCCAGGCTCTCGAAGGCTGGCGTAATGAAATATACTTCGATTATGGAGTTTGCCATTGAGCAGTAGGCCAGTTGTGACTTTCCCAACCATTTTCACTATTTTCAGCTTCACAACTGCCGCCAACACTCTCCGGTGCAGTGCGGACTCCTTTGATTGCAGCAGCTGCTGAACTTGGAGATACACGACCGCAGTCGACACTTAGCAGAGCAGTACCAAGGTTAGCTCGGCAGAAACGTTATTCATCTCGTAACTTCAAGGAGAAGTAAAATTTAAATGAAAATGAAGTGACGAGGTAAAAATGTAGCGATTTGGTTGTCCGGAAAGTTCTTCTCTGAATTACAGTCCCTTGAATGAGAGTGATATAAAGAGTAATACATGGAGATAGCAAACCCGTAGCAAATCAAATGAACAAATATAGTCCACGAATTGGTCGCACAACTTGTTGCCCTTCACGGTTATCAGTAAAACTGGTTTATCTAAAGCGCAGTACTGCGAGCATCGCATGGTGAACCTAACGGAACTGTCCACTGACAGGACATCTGTACCAACCCTTGTCTCTGTTCGGCTTGGCCTACCTGCCGCTTTTGAGGAACCATCAATCTCTCCCTATCCCCCCCCCCCCTTATTACTGATCGATTCTTCACGGTCGGTGCCTTCCACACTTTTAGAAGCATCTACAATTTATTGGAAATAACTGTTATCACTTCCTGCCACCAACTAATACCAGGAAAGACCAGCTGGCCAGGACTACCTCCAGTCCTTTTCTGGTTAGTACTACTCTTACAAAATGTCTGAGCTGCGTGTGGGTTTAACAACTTGATGCCATTACCCTGTTACTGAGCAGTTCAGCATTGCTGAAGAAGACTTCTTTATTTGTGCCTTCTCGTAATAATTGGAAGAGGGAGTCAGTGTCGTGGCAAGCGACCCGTACTCCATGCGCGCAACACTGAATCTCTAATATCAAGCCTAAAGCCGTCCGGGAACGGTAGCTCACATTGATGCTCACACTCACATTGACTCAGTTTCTTAGGGCAACTTGATTTTCACGCCTTCAATCAAGTTGCCCTAAGAAACTCACATAATAAATCCCACTCCAAACTGCTGCAGAAATCAGGCGTTCGCTTTGAAGTCCCAAGCCCTAAGAAAACCGAAACAACCAATCAAATCCAGAAAATCCAAAGAGCCGAAACAGCGAGTCAGGTTTATGAACAATATCCAACACCTGCTGTTCAAATGTGATTATGTGACTGTGAATCCTGGTCGGTCTCTGAAAATGCATATTCAGGCAAGCGGAGAGAGACATCGACCGGTTAGATCGAGCTCTCGACCGCATGGAGAACAGGAATGACACAAGTACGTTGAAGAAGACAAAGCCTCCGCCACCACCGCGGAAGCCGTGCTGCTCCAAGGTCAGTTCATTTGATTAAGTAAATTTCGAGATTTAATGAAATAATTCAGGACGGCCTACCACCATCGTCCGTAGTGTCGTTACCGCCACCGATGCCGCTGTCGGAGAGCGGGCCGCTCGTTTTCTCACGAGCTCCCACCATCACTGATGTCTAGAGTCGTCGCCAGTAGCATGAATCGTCGAAGCTAATTGCTATCAGACGAATATGAGTATTAGTGCACAATTTCTCTGATCTAAATTTCCGTCGTCGCGACCAAAATACACAAGTGTTCGTCTAATTCAGAGGTGTTGCACCTCACCTAGGTGAACATTGTTGTGATATGATATATCGAGACACTGCCTTGTGCCCATCCCCGTGTTCCTCGCACTTCCATGCTCCTATCATCCTCTACCTTACCCCGTTGAACTTCCCACTTTTCGAAGCGAGTCATTCAATCCGCTTTTTATTCGTTGTATAGTTCCCATCATCTCTCTCTCTCTAGCTGCTCTTCTGGCGCATCTCTTATTTTTCACTTTTCCTATAGAATTATTCAACCATTCAATGCTCAGTTGTCTTCTTTGTATACAGGCTAAACATTGCAGTCTCGTTCATTTAGGCATTGATGATGAGAACTTCAAGAACTATGCGACGTTTACCGAAAAGTCTTCTTTATCATCATATTTTGACTTAGAAAGGGCTTTTTCAACAACCTCAGTGTATCGTGTATTCGAAGTCCACCGAATCTATTCAGTTGCCATGATCTCAGCTTTCAAAGTGCTAAATAAATTATTTATGTCTATCACCACACACAGATAAATACACAATTTTAAACGAACTATGGACTTTGGTGGTGAACTTTCGCTGTTGATGTATTCCTTTTTGGGATGCGCCGGGCATTCTACATCCGAAATCGTAGTGGCTTATTAAATGCACCAGTTTGGCTGACGCGCACTACTGCGCGCATGATCAAACCTATGGTATTGATCACTGACAGGATTTTCGTGCAGACCACTAACACGTGGCCTGGCAAGTAGAAAAGCTTCGCGCCGTTAAAAGAATTTTCGGTCATCGGGATGTTCCTTACAAGGAAGGGTCTTTGATGGTTCGTTTTTTCAAAACTATGCGTTTGTTGCTTGTTGTGTAGGTTGTCCATGCAAGGTTTACAAAAATGGGTTTCATTTTTGCTATGCGTTTCTGGGAAGGTAAAAAACTGAGTGAAAACCATTTGACGAGAAATCGCGATTTTAACCGTGTTAATGGGCTCTGTTGTAGCTGTAACTTTGCCAGTGCATAATTCATGAGGTGTCCCTTCACTATGTATTGAAAAGATAGCAAAGTAAAGCCAATAAGAAAGTGGACGGAGGGGAGTAATACCGAAGTTACTTGAACGATTCTCGCAACCACTGTTTCGCGGTCGGCGGATGGCGGAGTGGATAGTGCGGTGGGCTCTCGCGAAGAAGGTTCTTGGATCGGATCCCCTTGGCGACTAACTCTTTGCATTTTTCGGATACTTTATACGTTTTTCGGTTTTGGATTTACGACACCCATTTTTGACCACGGCGCAGCCTAGCGCCGACTTGCTGCAAGAGCATTCTTCCACTGAATTGTTGCCAACCCGCACGCAGGGGCTGTTAAGCGCTCATCTCGAGGAGAAAATTTTTGCTGAAAGTCTGTATATAGAGGTTATTAATGGCCCTGATGACGATTCTGACCTTTAAAATTGGCGTCTAGGTCATTTGGCGCCAACATGGCTCTGAACACCCCCCTCACGCCAGCTGCGGGTTGGGATGCTGCGAGAATCTCTTGAGAAACTACAATGCTGCCTCACTATGTGCCAAATAAAGTACTTTTTTACCTTGAATTGTATTGTTTTCGATGCAGTGTCGACGAAGGTCTCATCTGCTATGCATACTTAACATTATGAATAGAAAAAGCCTCGGAAAAATGGTTCAAAATCGCTTCTCCCCAGCAAACTTTGCACTCAGTTTTTGACCTACCCAGAAACGCATAGCAAAAATGAAACCCATTTTTGTGATCCTTATTCGGACCTCTACAACATGCAACAAATCATTTCCGAAAAGCGCGCCACGACCTGAAAGACCTCCCTTGTTAGTGAAAGCTCCTCATATCCTAGCGCTTCCGTTGAGCAGCTTTCACGTATCCGTTTGCTGGTGGTTCTTATCATTCCTCACTGGAAAACATCTTTAGGCTTTTACTTTTGGGTGAAACTCGAGCGTTTAGCGGTCGAATCAATTTCGACTATCGCTGAGGAATAGAAACATTTGGCTCACTAAGTATTTGCCCATAGATTTGGGAGCTTCCTCTCTGACCCACCGTTCCCATCCTACCTCCTATTTCACCGCTTGCAGTCAACGTACCGTCGCTGCGGCGCACTTGAATTTAGTCCCTTTCTAGGGCTTTATGATATGTTATCAGCTGTTATCATCAATTTCATGTGCACCCACCAACAAATGTTCCCATCCTGTCCCCCCTTACTTTTGGAACCAACGTTCTACAGTTTCTCTGAAGCGAGTCTTGAAATTGGTGATCCCCTTCTAAGAACCTATACGGTATCTTATCAGCTATTATCACGTCCCGCCACCCACCAATAATGTTCCCATCCTGCCCCCTGTCCTACTTCTTGGAACCAACGTTCCGCCGCTGCTATGACCCGCGCTACGAAGTAGGTGACCCTCTCCCTTCTAAGGCTCTTTATGGTATCTTATCAGCTGTTATCACGTCCTGCCACCCACCAATAATGTTCCCATCCTGCCCCCTATCTTACTTCTTGGAGCCAACGCTCTAGCTTTGCTGTGACGCGCGTTATGAATTTGCTGACTTTGCCTTTATAAGGCCTTATTCGCGTACCTTTCAACTGTTGATCAGCTTCCTGCTACCCACCAATTGGTGTTTCCTGCCCGACCGCTAGATCAAGCTTTATTAAAATTGAGCTTTTTATCGCTACTTGAAGAAAGAGTTATGAATTTCGGTCAAACGACACACACGCAACCACACTTACACACAACTGCTAGTGTTAGCGGATTATATATATTAGGTTGTCCGGAAAGTTCTCAGCGTTTTGTGCACCTATTTTTTGTACATTCACTGCTGATTAAAAACTCATTCTGCCTTGCTTCTCAGTAGCACATCCTGTAGAGAATTTCTTGCGCTATCTGATGGTATAATTGCCGTTTCACCATTGCTTGATAAACCCCTTTTTTTCAAGATTTTTTCAAGCATGTGAAAAGAGCACTTCGGACGATTTTTTTCTTCGACTATAAATTGGGGCAATCCGCAATCGAAACAGCTCAACAAATTAACCAGGTGTGGGAGCCCAATAGTGCTAGAGAAAGCACTGTGCGGCAATGGTTCAACAAATTTCGTTCTGGAGATTTCAGCCTTGAAGATGAACCTCATAGCGGTCGACCTAAAGCAATATCTGACGAGGATTTTAGGGGATTTTGGAGGCTGACCCATCCCAAACAGTTCGAGAGATAGCAGAAGAGCTAGGCGTTGGCAAATCCAACTGTTGCAGATGGTCTGGAACGCATTGGGAAGGTGAAAAAACTCGACAATTGGGTGCCCCACAATCGGAGTGACCGGCAGGAATCGGCACGTCTCGAGGTTCCTTCTGCATTGCTTTTGCGCAGCAGAAACGACCTGTTTTTGGCCGAATTGTCACCTGTGATGAAAAATGGGTCATGTATGATAACAGGAGACGTTCCGGACAGTGTTGGATTTCGACGAACCACCGAGGTAATTCAAAGCCGAACCCTCACGAAAAAAAGATTCTGGTCACGGCTTGGTGGTCATCGGCTGGTGTGATCCACTATAACTTTTTATCACCAGGCCAAACCATCACAGCAGAACCCTACTGTGAAGAAATCGACGAATTGTACCGAAAATTTTGTCAGATGCAGCCAACACTTATCAAAAGAAAGGGTCCGATTCCTTTGCATGACAACGCCCGCCCACACGTTTCACAAATCACTATCCATAAATTGAACGAATGGGTTGAAGTTCTACCTCAACCGCCATATTCTTCAGACCTTTCGCCAACCGACTATCACCTTTTCTAACATTTTCAGAACTCCCTTGCTGGAAAATACTTCATCAATCAGGACCAGGCAAAAAAGCCTTCGTGGATTTCGTGAATTTTTGACCACCCAGTTTTTTACTTTGATGGGATTTCTCGACCGCTGTCACATTGGCAAAAGTGTGCTGATTCGAATGGTGCTTATTTGGATTAAATCCGATGAGTATTAAGAAAGTTATGATCGTTTAAAGTGAAACACTCGAAACGCTGAGAACTTTCCCGGACAACCTAATACACTAGGATTGTTGCCCATACAATGACTGGCGGTAGCTAGCCTGTTGCACCGATCAGTTCCTTACCCTCCCAGGTACCAATTCACCGCCCACGGAGGATAGAAGGCTTGGTTGGCGCCTGAGCGGGAGCCGGCCGACCCAGGAAATTTGGCCTCCCGCGTCCGGGCGCGCCTTGCCACCTACACCATCATCCCTTCACTGATTAGTGTAGTTCATTTGAAAAAAAAAAAGACATAATCAACGGATCTTCAAAAGCAGAGCTCTAACAGGAAACGAGCTTGCGACCAGGTAAAAAAAAACCGTGTCAAATTCTGAAAGTTACGGTGATTGGGGAACTGTTGCGTCAATGTAAATGTATCATTTGTGAACTGAAACAGCGCCAAAACACATGCCTTGTGAAGCGATTGCTTCTAATTGCATGTGCTCTTTTCCAGTAAGGGGTTTTGAGGGGAGCAGACTTACATGTGGTTACTTAATGTGACATTAAGTTTATCAACCAGAACAAAATTCTCGAGCGATTAGGAAGAACAGCAATTGATTTCGAAGGTCACATTATGGTCATTGAGGTCATGCTATTTTCCTCAAGATAATTGTAAAAACTCCATCGGTACTCCATACACATTCATATTACATCTACTGTCTACTACCAATAAATGGGTTTTTGACAAAATATACGAAAACTACGCAAGAGTCGTCTGTTGGATTTAATATGGCGTACAAAACGTTTTCATGATGCACCAACTTTTCCAGTCTCTGACCCGAAAGCATGGAAATCGTAGACCTTGCGAATCAACTTTTTTTCCACCCTTGGCTACTGTGACCACTGAAAAGTGGCGGAGGTGGCGC